CAATTAACTTTCGTTTCTCATAGGACGCATCTCATATAGTGTCAAACTTCCAGTAAATATTAAAATTCTATTTTGAATAGTTTTTTCACAAAATAGATGTTTGCGTTTTTTGATCAGGAATTACCCCAGGTCACCCTAATCAATAAGCATAATTAATTAAATATATGTTCATGTTCATGTTTTGTAAAATAACTGATATTAGAAGTTACATAATTTTTCACAGCACTAAACATTATTTTATAAAAAATTAGTTTTTAAAGAGCTAAAGCTACACTACCTCTTCATAACTATAACAACACAATATCACTATTATTTTTAATAATATTAATAAACACAAAATTGAAACTGAGATGATTTTTTTTCTTCTTTTTTTTCCATAAGAGATAATAACAGAAAAGAATAAGATAGTAAGAGAAATGACAAGTGTTAGTTAATGTAAGAAAATTTTCAGCTAACTCAAATCCTAATTTTATAAAAGTATTTTAGTATTTTGTTATGCAGAGCAATTTTTTGTATAATAAAAATACTGTTTATGATCAATAACACATACAGAAATTAATTTAAAGTTGAAAAGTTTTAAAATATTTCTCTCTCCTCTTTACTGGAAAAAGAAGGAAGCATGAAATATTTCTTCCAAAGTTTAAAAAAAAGAAGCTTGAAATGAGTTAAAAAAAAATTTAAAGAAATTTTATTTGCACGAACAAAAAATTAAAAGGGCATATCTAGTTTGGGGTCTCAAAATACTAAAAAAATTTTATTGCTGCTTTAATAATTTTTGAGAATTGAAATAGGAAATATAGATAATGAATACACAGTTTAAAATTATTTCACAAAAATTACAATATTTAATTCAAATCCTAACAATTTGGTAAAATCCCTCTTGATATTTGATAAAAAAAATTTTTTTGCATCAATTGTATATATTGTAAAATATGCGTTAATTGTATATATATTTTTTAATAATCTTTTAAAATTTTTATGCGTTAGTAGTCCTTTACTTTATTACACATTGCACTTTCTTTTTGTTTTCAAAAACAACCATATTTTAATATGAACACAAATCTCTCTCTCTCTCTATATATATATATAAATTTTTTTTCCATCTGGAAAAAAAATATAAAAAAGTATTTAAAACCTACTTTATCAGAAGCTGTCGCGGCAGTTAAACAAGGATGCACTCCATCATATTTCCCGATTGTAACTCTGTGAGGTAAGATTTTATTGCTGAGGTTTAATGTAAATACGGGGGCTAACATTTTAGCGATTTTTTCTCTATGTTTTCATATTATAATAAAAGAAACACTTGTATTTCTGTCTTAGAATCGATTTGAAATTTTATGAATACCTTACTTAAATCGTAATAATTTAATATAAAACTTTATACTCCACAAATTTTATTTTCAATTTATTTCATGTTTGTTTACATTTTAGGGAAGATTTGGTTTCTATAGTTACAAGATACGATTACGATTACAATGAAAATGCTTAATTTAAATCAGCAAAGTCTTAGAAATGTATTATTTTGCGAATTTTAAAATTAAATATTAGAGAAGGGTTTTTTTCATTTTGATAAAATGATTAATAATGCTATAATTAAACATTCAAATCATTTGGAATCTAAAGTTTTAATATTAATTTTATTTCGATGCAGAAGAAGATGCACTCCAAAATCTGGTTTCTGCCGTTTTTAGTTGTTTCATTTTCATGTTTTTGTTTTATATTCCATTTATGCTTAAGCGTAATAGATCATTGACTTTTGAGAAGATGAACAAAGAAATGAACTAGCAGAAAAAGAATTGGTAACTATTTTCTTAATATAAATTATTGTCATTTCTGAACCTCGATGTTTCAAGTTAGATTATTATATATTTGGTAGGTCTGCGTAATTATTGTTGTTTATTTATCAATATACATTGGATTGTTGTCAAAACAAAGCACTTCGAGTTTACTTTTTTCAAAAAGTTCTTGATTAATATTAAATTTATTTCATTGATTAAATACAAACTATGCATTTTGTCTTGGGTATTATTACGAAAAGTCATTTTAAACTCTGCATATTTGAAAGCATTAAATAGTAGTCTCTAGTTGTGTGTTTGATTATGCAGCAATTATGATTTGAAGAAAATTGTTATAATTTCTTTTCTGCAAAGTTTACTCTTAATTATTTTGTAAGGTTTCTTGACTTTTAACCGCATTTGTTGTGCTGTTAAATATTCCATCATTATTTTCGGACCACGAAAAGAAATTGCCACACTGTTTCCTGCACTTTTTAATGTATAAAATTTAAAAATATTTTTCTTTTCTATAGGGTGGAGTTTTAATTTAAATAGTAAATTCGGAACAAACCAATTTATTTAAATTGCAGGAAATAGGATAAAGTATAAAAATTTAATTCAACATGTAAGTAAATTTAAAAATTTTCATAGTGTTTGAACTAAGCCTTTGTCTTTACTAAATTAAACCTTTGCTGTAACTAAACTAAACCTTTGTTGAATAAAAGCTATAAACTAAGCTCTAAATTATTTGAGTTGTTATTTAGTTGAGTTTACAGTCATTATTTTGCATTGACTTAAATTAACTCTCACTTCTATTTTTTTAAATGCATTTTTTAAATGTTAAATTTTTTCATAGTTACTAAGCATTTGAAGATGTTCCCATATTAGTGATGCCTATTTGTTCCTTCCACCTCTTCTAAGGTACCAAAGGATTTTTTTTTTTTAACTTTCAAACATTTTTTAAAAAAAATATGCAGTGGTTTGGAGGTAGCTACAAGTTATACCTACCCTTTGAGTTTGTTCCTTATAAAAATTTTTGTAGAGCAAATAATTCAGAAATCTTCTCAAGCCTTTTATCTGAATCTCAATAAGGAAATTATATTTTTGATCATCATCATTTTGTTGAGATTTTTTCTTGCAAAACTGAAATTTTTTTCAATTTTGTTTGCCTTTTTTATTTTTCCCTTAAAATCTTTGGAAAATCGCTGAATCCAACCTGAGGTATCTATATATTTGATTTTTATTCTGTTAAGATCTATTCTTGCATTGTAAGAACCATAATTTCAATTTTTTATACCTGTGTTTCTTCTTTTCTTTACAAACCTTAGAAAATTGTATTTTGTATTCTAAGGTATAAATTTCTTTTTTCTCTCTGTTGAGATCTAGGTTTGCACTGTAAAAAACATTTCGTTTTTTTACTTAACTATTATAAAATCTAGGGTATCTTATCTGATAAAACTTATTTGTTGTAGAAAAAATTATTGCAAGGAAAATAATTTAGTTTTTACTCCAAGCTAATTTAATTATTTTCAATTTTACTAATATTATTTTGCCAAATTTTTTAACTTGATTGTGTATAATAGAATATGCTTTTATGAAGTAAAACAACTTAAGTATTCTATTGCACCTTTTGATTTGCAACAAAAGAGCAAAAATTGTACAAATGCCATAATTTAATAACAAATATTAAAATATTTAAAACTGTTTCCATTTTTTTTGTGCATGATAAAGATTAATAATAATTATATAATTAAGTGGTTGTTCATTTGTATAATTACTGCTACTGTAATTTCTATTTAATGATCTATTAATTTTACTTTTCCAATTAAAAATTTACAAATTGTATATGGTTGTTAAGATTGCCAATATAATCGCATCGATGGCAATCACATTGATGCCACAAATAATCGTATAGATGGCACAAATAAATGTTTATTGTGATAAATAATGAGATGTAAGAAATGAATTATATAACGAGTTACTGTACTGCTGTGCTCTTACATTTCTTAAATGTTATATACTGGTAATCTTAGTGTAATTTTTATCGTGTATAAATAGTAAGAAATGAATAAAATAACATAGAGTTATTGTACTGCTATTTTTTGTATAAAATGTCATATGTATAAAATGTCATCTGTGGTCTAAGTTTAATTTGGAGATTAACCACCAAGCTATAATCTTTCACTCCACAACAGATTTGTTTATTTGCAAGTCTGGGTGAGATTAATCAACTAAGCTTTTTATTGTCAAATATCAGTTGATCAAGAATCAACAGAATTTTACTCTTAATATTAAAATTTTCTTTAACTTATCATACACAGATACATAATAAAGAAACACAAGCATTAATTGTAATTCTCTTTCTTTTCAGATCTATTTCATTACTGGCATACTCTAACACTAAATGAGTACTTGAAATTAGTGTTAAAAACTCACAAGTCCTGAAATGGAAGACCACATTCATTGTAACACCTGTGTCAAATGGATGAAATGCATGAATGCTCCTGTAATACCTGGTGAAAGTTGTAAAATAATCAGCTGTCCATTGGATTGTGGTGCAAAATATCATGCCTGTAAGGGAGAAGAACATAAGCACTTATGCATGAATGAAAAGGTAATTTAATTAGATAAGTTTAGTGATAAATAATTTTTTTAATTGAATCCTTATTTTTCTTTCCTTTCCCCTTCCTTTTAGTAATACAAGTTAAAGTTCTGTTGTTGTTGTTTCTAATCCTCAAGAGGTCCATCCTAATTAGACCAATTCCATAAGTCCAAAAATGTCCGGAAAGTCTAAAAACAGATTAGGTTTTGAAAAAACCTCGTCCATCTTAAAATCGATACAGTTTAGAATATGCTCGGGCAAAGCCGGAGCAGTCCTACATTTAGTGCAAAGTCCAAAAGTCTTTTGCCCCTGAACATACGAGAGGCACCTCAAGTGACCACTTGCAAAGCGAGACAAACAAGTCTGCTGGCTTCTAGGTCCCTCAAAAAACAAGGCCCTTTCAGGTCGTTTTCTGAAATACCAACTATGCGGAGGAGGAACCCTCCAGAGGTCCATAAACATTTTTTTTGCACTCTGCAAAGACCTCATTGAAAGTGGAAGGTAAATCTGACTGTAAAAGTTCCAAAGAAGCATCTTTAGCCAGTGATCCGCCATCTCGTTACCTTGGATTCGAACGTGTGATGGAATCCATTGGAAGTGTACCCCAAAGTCCGCTGAGAGCCTGAAGAGCATCCCCAAAATTGAAGCCGCAGCCCTGTCTCCAACATTCATCCAGTTGCTTAGGTGTTGGATTGAAGATTTGCTATTCGTCAGTATCCATATATGCTTAAAGTCAGGCTCAGCAATATTCTCAACATTTCTTAGGCCATTTTCAATCGCAATAAGCTCAGATCTGAAAACCGAGCAAAATTCAGAATTTCTAAATTTGAGACTTAATGTGTACGTGGGTGTTTTAATAAAAACTCCACTACCTGAATGACTAAGACCTGAAACCCCCCTACCTGATGTTAAAGTTCTAAACTTGTTATGCTTCTGTTTTTATGCCTCGTAATGGTTAGAGTTTTTGTTCTTTTTTTTTATTAAGGTTGTTGTATTCTAATGTTTAAAGTACAGTAAATTTATCATTGTCTGTAAAATTGTGCTGTACGACAAACACCAATTAGCAAATTCTATGTTTGATATGCAAAATGGTAAAAATTTGCATCACAGAAAAGGACTATTAGTTTCGAGGACTGATCTAGTAACTCTGGAAAATTATTATTATTTTTTTTTTTAATGGCAGACACTTGGGATGTATTGTCCCATTGGCCTCTTATGCCAGTACTGCTACTCTCTTCTCGTTACCCAGTAGGCACCTGTGGTGAAGCCATGGTGATGGAGCAGCGTCGCCCATGTCACAGAACCACAAACCCGTTTATCGGGCGGGTCACATTCACACAAGGGAGAAAGGACGAAAGGACATAGAACACAGGGAGAGAAAGAAACATCCATGCCCTGAGCAGGATTCGAACCCGCAACCATCTTCTCCGCAGTCAGGCACGCTAAACACTCGGCCACCTGGCTGGCACTCCGGAAAATATTATATGAATTTCGTACTCATTTCATATTTAATATGGTTTGAAGTAAAGTTTAAAGTCTTTTCACGGAATCCTCTTAAATTCTGATGTTTTTAATGTCTTAAATGTTAACCTTGTTCTTTTTACCAATTTTTAATTTTGGGAAACAAAATGTCTTCAAAGAATTTATCTAAAAGGATTGGCAATTGATTTCTCTTCACAACCTGACAATTTTCTTAAGAAACAAGGTTTAAATATAAAGTCATTTAGAAAAACGGCAATGTCAAAAATAAGGTTCTTTCTAAATTTGTCGCTAAAATTTTTATATCTGTGCACAGAAATACGTTACAGCAGGTGGAGCTTATTTTGAAATATTGTAATTCATAAAATAGGTATGTAATTCACATAATATTTTATATAGATCAGTCCTAGAAATTTATAGCTGCACTATATAAATGTTTTATTGTGTTAAATGCAGTGCAGTTTATTTATTTGCAATTGACATTTTTAAAATAAATTTCGCCTCTGTAAAAAAAATTTACTATGCAAAAGAATGAGAAATATCTTCAAATATCTGATAAAAAATTGTAGGACAGAATCTTGCGCTAATATAGATAACAATAATTGGCAGATCACTGTAAATGAAAGCCTTTTTATGGTGCTTAATTGTGCATTTCAATTAGAGCATAAGTTAAACTTAAAGCTGTTTATTTTTCACTGGGTGTTTTCAAAAAGTGTTTATTATTAAATTTTTTATCGAAAGATTTTTTTTCTTTGTTCCATTGTTGCTATATGTGTGGCTTTCAAAATTGCAGTCATTATTCATATCTGCTGTTTTGTGTTAATTCTTAAAACTGTAAAATAAGTTCATTTTTCAAAATTTCTTTTCTTTATTATTTCATATTACAGTAAAGAATCCGTTATCCGGAAATCAGAAAACCGGAAAGCCAAAAAGCCAGAACGAAATTCGATAAATTTTTCCGCCATTTTGTTAAAAAAAAAAAAAGTTTTTTTCCTCATAAGATTTTAGGATTTTTCTTTCTTTTTTGAAAGATGCTTACATTACCATCATTTTGGAAATAATCATTAGTGTATTACTTCATCATTTTTTCTTCTTTTTAAGATTATTTCCAAATAATTTTTTTTTAGTTGGGTTTAACAATAAGACAATGGCTTTTTGAGCGATTCGAAATCAGCTATCCGGAATAGCGATGGTCCCGATCATTCCTGATAATCGGTTCCTTACTGTATAAATAAGGTTACTTTTGGCTGAATCTAAATTCAAATTTATTTTCCTACACAGGTTGCTTGTATAAATGCAGAATTTGGTTGCCCATCTATGATGCTTCGGAAGAACAGAAGTAAGCATTTACCATCGTGCCCTGCTAGTATCATACATTGTTCTGAAGAATGGGACAGATGGCCTATTCATTTTCATAAGAAAAGTCCTACTCATTGTCAAGCTCAACTAGACTCTACTTTAAAAGGTCATTTAGATGTTTCTTTAGCCATGAGAGATCAAAGAATGTTGAGAAGGTGGTGTGTTGCTGCATCTCAGGGTCAATCACTCAATGACCAAAAATTTACCATTAGCCCTTCAAGTTCTTTATGGGTATATGAATATTTAATTAAAATACATTAACAAAATATTATGTTTTTGAACACTTTTATCATTTGCAATTACATAATTCTTCTTCCTTATCCCCAAAATTAACAGGGCTAAACAATGTCCATGAAATACATGACCCGGAGGAAGTCGGGCACCAAAAGTGGGTTATTTAGTATGTCCCTTTTGTCCAGTCCAAGACAGTCCAGGATATGTTGGGGAGAAGCCTGCATGTTGTGGCACCTGGGGACAATTTGGGAAGATTTTAATACTACCCTCGAAGGAAAGGGACTTAAAGTGGCCGCTGGTAAGCGCCCTCTGGTCCATGTGGTAGCACCGAATGTTGAGTGCACCTCCTAGGCGGGTGCTCTGGTACCAGTGATGTTTGGGGGGTACGAGCCAGGAAACATTGTCTTCTTTTTCAATGCCAGTTCCATGAAGGTGAGAGAATTTGGACTCATCAAAGTTTCTTCTGTCCTCTCCTTAGCCAGAGTGTATCGATATCGTTTAGCGATATCGTTTCCCAGAACCCCAAAATGAGAAGGAGTCCACTGGAGGTGGACTTCACGCAATCGTGAGAGGATTTTAAGTTTGTGCAGAGTTGAAGCTCCTGTTTTGTCTCTCACCTTCCTCCAATGCGAATAATTCTAAAACATATTATGCATAGCTTTTATATTCCAGATTTTTTAATTGTAATAATTATAAATGCATCTAAATAAAAATAGGGTTGCCACTCAACATGCCGAACAAGGAAAACCCGAAAAAACAGGGAATTTAAAAATCGTCGAAAATAACTGGGGAAAATGCAGGGAATTTTATTTCTTATTTTTGTCTTTTAAAAAATGCAAACCTCTCAAAGCACAATTTATGGGTTTTTTAAAGATGATAATTCAGTTCTATTGTATTATTTCATTTATTATAGCATTATTTGTTTTATGTTGGTTTGTTCCTTATTTCTCTAAGTTCTTTCGCTAACTGAAACAAGCATCATTGTCGTATATAGCTTACAAAAGCGTAGTGAATGTGTGTTTCCTCTTAATATATTGTGTATAACCTGTGCAGGGAATTTTTTTTCCAGATATGAGTGGCAACCCTGAAAAAACAGTTAACAGTGTAAATTACCCATCTGAAAGTTTTCAAAATAAGTATATTTGATTTTCATGTGGAAAATTTTAGTTTATCAATGAAGTTTTTCATGGTCTTGAATATTTAATCTAGTTATTTTTCCTATATAAATTTTTTTAGGGAATTGAAAGTATTTTTTTCCAACTGCAGATTAATTGAATTGTAAAATATTTCTTGAATAGTAAAATATTTAATGCCAGTTGATTGGCCTCTAGGCTGTGTTTTCTCTCATACTTTTCCACTAGACAAATATAGGCATTAATCTAAAACAATCTTATTACATTAATCTGAAAGATAATCAGAATCAAAGGCATACATCTTTATTTGTGTTTGGTATATTTTTACTTTTTTTTTCTTTCTCCATAGGGTAAATGCAGTAAAATCTCATTAGTTTGAAGAGTTCATTATTTCGATTAACATCGTAAAATCTAATGAAAAATTAAATTAAAAAATTTAAATTCTACATTAATACTAATTGTGTAATTATGGTACTTTTTTCTATGTTAACAAGATACCTCTGTTTTTGTTGAGTTTGCTATCTTAAATTTAGCTCAATTTGCCTTGATTTTTTTAAAAAAAAATTCTTATTGCTAATTTCTGTAATTTTTAATATATTATTAAGCTTAAATGTACATGTCATAAAAGCTTACATCTCACTTGTCTTAAGAAGTTTTAAATGGCTAAGATGTTGAAAAACCAAACACTAATATTAAGTTTTAACAGAAATAGTACAATATGTGTATTAATTAAAGTTTCCAATTGTTTTAGATATTTAGGAAATGGCAGAGCTCTAGAGAGTACAGCTATCCACCTGGACTACAGCAAAGTGTGTGTAAAGAACTGTGCAAGACTTGTAAAAGAGTGGCCAAAAATGCTTCAAGTCAATATTCTAATGGTAACAGCAATAGTAACTGTGTTAGTAAAACGGTGGATAAAGATGCTATGAATTCTATTGAGTTGTCTGATAAAGAAAACTCTGGTGATTACAACAATATTCAGACAGTAAGAAAACTTTTATACTTATTTGCATTAATGTACCCTTACTTGTTTATGTTATATTGGGAGTGCACATTAGTTTTTGGGGATTTACCTTATTTACAAGAAGTCTGTTTTTGAAAGAGTATGTTAGACTTGTATTTTGGCCCTATCTAGAATCAAACCAGGTACCTTTAGATTTGCTTATTCATCATGGATGATTGTTGTCAAGTTAGGATACCATTGCACTTGTAATGAATGAAAATGTTATGAGCTTTTCAGGAGATTGAGAGGTGGTGTTTCCTGAGTGAAGTTATCTTTCCAGCACAGCAGAGACATTGATTGAGATTCGGGTGTTTTGTTTGCAGTGTCAAAGCAAACTGAGGAAAAGGGTGAGGTAGCGTAGTGATGCCGTCTATTGAGAGAGTTGCATTGTCTGTGGTCATTAATGTAAAGGAGTGTGAGATATATACTTTGTGGTCTGCTGAAAATGAATCTAGGACATTAATTTACAACAAAGCTCTAACTGTACGATGGAAAAGGATTTATATTCCCAACCAATCTGAGTTAGGAAGCTTTATATAGTTGTTTCCACAGGCTTTAACTGACATAATATGACTGTTTTTATAAACAATAAAGTTAAGTTGAAATTTTAATTACAATATTTTTTATCTTTGATTGAAAATTGAAGTTTTTGTACCGACAAAACAGAATTTGCAGGATATCTTATTGCATTAGTGTTGCTAATTTAAAATAAACACGAGAAAAATTGTTTGAATACATGTTTGTGCTAAATATATTTTCCCCATTACTTTTTTTTAACTATTTGTTTAAAGGATTCAAAGGTAATGGTGGGCTGTTATATGCATAGTTGGAACTGAGGAGTTGGGCAAAATATTTTTTGCAGGAGGTTTAAAAATCAACTCTTCTCTGGTTAGTTAAAAATTAGGCTTTGTAGATAGAAATACAGAAAAAATTTTTTGATCTTATAAAAATTGTTTTGATGAATATTTATAATTATGTACATGAAAATATTATTTGAATGAATATTATGGCTTGAATATGAATATATAACTTATTTTAAACTTAACTAATCACATTTGAATGTTTTTCACCCTATGCTTCACTGAACTATTGAAAAAACACATAGGAAATAGTTCAAACTATTGAAGAATCAACCAAATTTACTTAGCAAAGTTACTTAAAAAAAAAAATACAAATGAGTTAAATGTCTAATTTATTAATAGCTTTTTAGTTCTTAATTATTCACTATGCAATTTTTTTTGTTAAAAGGCATTTATATATGTGCAAGTTAGTACATGAAATATTGATATTTAGCTCTTTTCTTATAATAATTTTGTATAATTTCAATATTTTGTACAAATTCTATGGTTATAATGTAAAATTTCATTTAAAAAAAGAGTATCTTTTATTCTAATTGCTCACCAAAAGTTATAATTTGAAATTAGCATTTACTTAGTAATTATATTAATACTTTTCTGGGATTTGGTGTAAGCTTATTTGAGTATAAATAAGATTCCATTTTAACCATTGACTCTACTACTCTGGATATATATATATATATATATATATAAATAAAGAGCTAAATATTATGATATGAAATTATTGTAACTCATCTTCTAAAACAAATTGAATCTTATTTTATACATTTCTTATTTTTACAGGATAAATCTGAGCAGAATTCATTGAATAAATTAAAGTTTGAAAATAACAATGTGTCTATTCCTGAAAAAGCTGTTAGTGAGTTACCCCACTACAACTTGGATGATGTCTTGCAACTTAGTCAATTTGGCACTATTGTGTATAACCAAGCATCTGGAGAAAGATCTATTTATGTTGCTGTTGATCCAGCTGATACTTACTATTTGAATACATGTTTAGACAATCGAAACATGGCATGCCAAATTCTAGATTTGAAATTTCGTAATCCATCGTCTACCCCACCCTGGTGCCTTTCCTTAGGATTAGATCTAAATTTAGAATCACGGTCTTTGCATCCTCCTTCAAATTTTATGTACACTTTTTTATGCAGTCAAGTAAGTATCTAGAGTTTTAGTGTTTTTTAAAATTACTCTAGAAAATTGTTTTTGTTTTCTATTGCATGAAATTTTCATATCGCCGATTTTAAATCTTTAATCAGTTTCTTTCTCCAAGCTACAGTTTTTTTCATGACATTTTTAGTCAATTTTTTGTTGAAATGTACAAGTTTAAAAACATATATAACACACATAAATGTTGCGACAAACTTCTAGAGGAGTTATAATGTATAATCTGGATAAATGCTTATGAGCCCATGCCCGGTAATGTCACAATATTGCACTAGAAGCAAGGGCGCCGGCGGAATAATATGAAAGGGTGTGCAACCCTCTAACAAACTATCCCCCCCCCCAATTTTTTTTTCATATATTCTGTTATTACATTTTATTTTTTATTACATATACTTTCATCTGTTAATTTTTTTCAAGATACATTTCTGCATTGTTAACAAGATATTTTTTTTTAAAAAGTGCGAATTTCTTGTACTTGCAAATTTTGCCACGGGAAACTGTATTGATGGCGCTGGCTTAGCTGCTTACTTTGAAACACAAATACTAAATACAAACCGTAGTTTTGTATACTAACGTGTTTGTGCACGCTTACACTTGTCATTGGTATTTATTGTGTTGATGAAATTTTACAGTTGTGAGAAGTCAGTTTGTGTTATACACCTTTGTTAAACTAAATAACTAATAGAAAATATAATATTATTTATATTTTATTAAATGAAATTTAAAAACATAGCTTAGATATCTGCCAAGTTTGTGCATGCTCAGTGTGCATAAGAAAAGAATCAACGATGGCTCAGAATTCATTGAAAAAGTTATAAACAGATTTGAACAGCAAACAAGACGATTACAATTCTTGTTTGATTAAACAATTTTTTAATTGTTATGTATCAATAATTACTTAATTATTTGTTTTTGAATAAAAATATTTTTAATAAAATTTTTTTATAACAAAATTGTTTCTCTGTGTCTCTTTGTTTTTAAAAAAAGTCAGGGGGGTGCAAGTGCACCCCACTGCTGGCGCCCTTGACTAGAAGCGCTTCCCTATTACGAACTGTTAACTATTAACCTGCCATCTGTTTTCATCCATAATTCCTTAGTTTAAAAGCTGTTTGCATATTGTAAATTTGTAATTATAAATTTATATTATAATATATAATTTCATGCAACAGTAAAAGCATTTGATTGTTTATTAGTAATTAATTTAATTGACTTTTTTAAATTAGAAGGGGTAAGATTTTTTTTGAAAGTATTTTTATGCTTTCATGTGTAGATCTTAATCATAAAATAAAATATACTGATTGTATATGTATGAATTGTTTTTCTTGTGCTGTTACTACCTTTATTATTTTATTTTTCAATTTAATTTTTACTAGCATATAAAACTTTTATATTTCAAGGTTGTTTATATTCAAACTTTTATATTCAAGCAAAGTTGCACACTTCTTCAGTAATTGGTCTTGTTAAGGTCATACAATATTCTAGAAGATTGTAAAAAGTATTGATTACTCTTCTGGTGAATTTGATTTTATTTTTCTATTTTGTATAGGAATTCAGAAGAGATCAATATGGTTGGCATTTTAAGAATGTTCATTCTGAAATCCACGGAGGATTAAATGGCTGGTTGATAGAAAGATGTCCTTTAGCTCAATATGGTTGTAAGTTTGCAAGAAGACGATTCAATCCTGAATCCAAGAACTCAGATATTGTGTATAATGAAAACTTAGAGAGTTTTGGCATATCTTACTCTAGTACTTGTAATAAAGAAAACGTCACAGAGGATGCTGGTTTAAAAAGGTACAATTTAATTTTTTTTGTTTGGCAGTATTTTAATAGATAATTAATTTATATATTTGTAGTTTGTCTAAATTTTTAATTGCACAAAATGGTAGAATTTTAGTTGGCTTTGAAATATTTAAAAAAAATCAATGTAATATAAATCAAATTCATGACTGACTAAACTATTTCATCATGCATGGTTTGCAATTAAACTAACGTCTTATTTGTATTAATTTTCTGTGAAAGATGAAAAGAGAAAGTTCTGATTTTTTCATAAATTGTATTGGCTGTTGCATCTCCCTTCTAACTTATAATATTAGGTATAATTGATAATTTAAACGTTGTATAATTTAAGTAATAAAAAACTTTTACTGTTAATTTTGCATATATGTTTCAGTTGCATTCTCAAAGTATTGGCATTCACAAAGTTAATATCTTGTTAATACGGTAATATTTTCTCTGTTATCATGAATGTCTGAAATTCAGTAAATTCAAATTTCTGTAGTGAATGTTGACATCTGTAGTTGCTTTGGTGAATGTCCAAAATTTATTCATCAATATCTTTACTTTGACCATAATATGTTGAAATTTTTCTGTGAAACTTGAATAAAAAAGATAATTTATAATATTTTACCTGCACAATTCTTTAGTCAGTGCTTGTTAAACAACTATATTTATAAGTGTAGGTGAATAATCTTAATATTAAATAAAAAGGAAAAAAAAACACATTCCTCATTCACCAATGGCGACTGTTAGTATCGACATATTCCAGAGAATGGCAAGGTTCACTAATTTCAATCTATCCCAATGTCACACTGTGGGGAAAAAATTTAATAATAAATTTTTCTAAAGATTTAAATATGGTTTGTGAAAATTAGGAAAAACTAAATATTTATTTATTCAAAAGAAAATCTAATCAAATCAAAATAGTTAATCAAGCATTGCAGGTGGAAAAAAAAACAGGTAGCATCACATAAGCATCATTTGATTCCCAAGAAAAGTGTTTTGTTAAATAAAATTTACAAAAATGGTATAGAAGAAAAAAGACAATTTTTTATTGTTATTTTTGAATTTCAACTTATATATTCTGATGCGTTTTCTTATAATTAGTTTTATTTTACTCAACCTTCAATTAACATAAGTGCATTTGATTTTAATTCTCTCTTTTTTATCATTATTTTTATAAGTAATTTTCTGATGCCAATTTATATATTTTGATGTGTTTTCCTCTAGTTAGTTTTATTTTACTCAACTTTCAATTAACATATTGTATTTGATTTTAGTTCTTCCCATGCTCAAAGTTTTTCCCTTCTTGATATGCCATTTGACGTAAGTGTTTATTACTTTTCCTTTTGTTAATTTGATTTCATTATTTTTTGAAATATTTTTTACCACATTCTGCAAATTATAGGTATTGCAGCATATTGTAAGATTTCTAGACAGCTTCAGCTTAGCAAATCTGTCACTAACTTCAACTCTGTTGAGAGATGTTTGTTCAACCATTTTGAAAGATAGAGGATTGGTTCATTTAAAGTGGGAAAGGTACAAATTGAATGATGGAAAATATTCATGGAGAGTCGCTAAGAAGGTAAACTATATAGTGTTGTCTCAAGTTTTAAAATTATGTTTTTATTTTTATAGCTACTATGGATATTAGTTGTGTAGTTAAAATTTCTATTTTTAAATTTAATGTCTTTGTGTAAGTACAGAAGGGAACCGATTATCCGGAACGATCGGGGCCATCGCTATTCAGGATAACTGATTTTTCCGGTTTTCTGAATTGCTACAAAAAGCCGTTCTTTTATTGTTAAGCCTAACTAAAAAAAAAAATATTTGGAAATAATCTTAAAAAGAAGAAAAAATGATTAAATAATACACTAATAATTATTTCCAAAATGATGGTAAGGTAAACATCTTTCAAAAAAGGAAGAAAAATCCTGAAATCTTATGAGGAAAAAAATTTTTTTTCAAAAAAAACTGCGGGAAAATTTATCGAATTTCGTTCTGGTTTTCCGGTTTCCGGATAACGGATTCTGTACTGTTTAATATAAATAAGTATGTCTCGTATATCTTAAGATAAGTCTAATATTCTTGTCAGGTGAATAATGGAGTTTGTTTCCCCAAGAAACTACTGAATTGATTTTCAAAAACCTTTTTGTTCCTGTTATGCATATTATAACTTTTTTTAAAAAATTCAGTAGATTTTTTACTTATATTTCAAATAATTTTTTTTTGATAAAATAATTTCTGAAATAAAAAAAAATTAAATCTTTTAATGTAAGTAAAAACACAAAGTAATTTCAATACTACCTTAAGTTTTCATGCTTCTTTATAGTGATACTATAAGTTGTATTATTAAGAAATTGCTAGTGTTTGTTCTTGAAATTTTCACATTAACTCCTGAAAATTCCTTAAAGAAGTCCTTTTTAGAAATGCCAACTAAAATAGAATAGCCATTACATCATAAACAAAAAGAGTTCTTAACAAAAAAGAAATGATTTTAATATCTTTATACAGTTTAAATTAAATTTCTGTAGCAAATTCATGTATAAGCCAATTATTTAAAAAAAACAATTCTTCTGGCTGTGGTATTTCATTAATTATTTCATGTAAATTATTCGCTATTGCAAATTACCCTAATATCTAATAAAAAGTAGTGAAAAGTAAATCTGTGCCTTTATTTATGTCACTTTCAAATTATAGCAACATTTTGTGTTACGTAATTTTTTTTTTTCTTTCTAATATGTGCTAACTTTAGTTATGAACATTTTTAATTTGCATTTTGTGAACAATTTTCATTTTTTTTTAAATGCGATCATTAAAAACTTAATGTAATTTCCTAAATGCAGAATGACATTTAATGATAAAAAAAAAAGACTTTGTCATAAGTAATGAATTGGTACTGTTCTTTTAAACAAATCAAAAATTATTTTGAAAACTAAAATTGCACAAAAGTAGCCCTAATTTGTTAAATATCAAATTATGTATAAATGTCTTCATATAAGAAACAAATTTGAAAATATATAAAATTTCCTGAATTTGTAACTGGGATTTAAATTATTCTGCACAGATGCAGAAGTAAATAGTTCTGCTTTGTACAAAATTCATTATGAGGTGTTAGTCACAGTTTTGAGTACTTTCCACTGTAAGGAGTATTTCTATTACAGAATATGTTTTATTGATTTTGTATTTGTGTTTAATATTTACAAAATAAATACTTTCCTCAAATGAATAAGGTTTTTTATTTAAGAAAAAAATATTTTAATTTGATTGCCATATTACCAAAATTAATATTTCTCTTTTACATATAAAAATCTGTATTATGTTTCTAGATGTGGTTCTTTAGTTCACATTTTTCTCCCATACACCGATGGACCGTGGAAAGCAAAGATAATATGTCAAGTCACTTGAAAACTTGTCCATACTTTAATCGTATTTCACAGAAAAAAGCATTTGGTTATGAACATTCAAGAAACATTGGTCATCCATTAGACAAGCGCTTTTGTGATCCTTTTAACGAATTCTGTGAGCATAACACAACAAAGCTGTGATAACCTTAAATTTGCATTAAGTTATGGTTACGGTTTTATTTTTCAAGCATAATCAACGGTTGGTAGATGTTGTGTGCTTGTATGCAATTGTTATGGTAGCAGCTGGATTCTGCTGTGTAGACAATGTAAAGCTGATTAGTATATTTTAATTAATTTATTATATTGTGTATATTAACTCATTAATGTAGTGTGAATGTTTTCTTTTAAAGTATGCATAATTAGTTGTTTAGCTTTTAAAGCATTGAGTGATAGTTTTTTTTTCTGTGATTCAAGGTTTAATGTTTTGCATACTTACAATAGTTAGGAATGTTTGCTTAGAAATACTAATTTTTAGTCAATTGTAATTAGATTTAACATTTTGTTATGATTTTCATAAAAATATTTATCTAATGACCGGTTTTGTTGGTGTATTTTCAAAGTTGAAATTATGGTTGATTTTAGTGCAATTTTGAAATGTAATTTACAATTTTATTTACATTGAAAAATTATTTATAAATATTTCAATTAAAATATTTTAATTTTAGATTAGCTTAGATATTTTTATTTTATAGTCACATTTCAGTGAAGTACAAAAATTAATTTTATCATGTTCCATTGCTAAAATATATGTAAATTTAGGAAAGTCAGTATTTCTTTTATAAAGTTAAAAATGTGTTGATTTAGTTTTTGTAAAAACTATTATAAATAATCTCATTTGTGTTAAAGTTCGGAGCATTTATAATACTAAGTTTATAAAAAAGTTCATTTCTCTTTCCTCTATAACTCAATGTAGGGTCTGAGGAAAATATTTCTAGACTGTTAAGTTCTTATTCTACCTTAAAATATATTCCAGTTTCTCTAAAGAACTTTTATCTTTAAAAATTTGAAGACTTGTTTAAAATTCATACTAAACAAAGTTTTTTTTTTCTCGTCAAATGCACTAGAATACAAATATTTAGTTGTAGATTGTTTTTTAATGTAGCTATGCAATTCTTTGCATATAGTTAGACATCTTTTTTCCCCCTCTGATTGTTTAGATGTTCCAACATAAACTTATTGCTCAAATCATAGCACCAAAATTTTAACTTACTATAACTAACATTAGAGGAGTCCTATCAGAGTTAACAAATATCAAAAGAAATGCTTCAATTCAAAAACATAATGTTTTGCAACTAGCTGACTTTTTAAATTGAAAGTTATTATCAACGCATTTTATTATTTTAATTTTGAATAAAGGTTTGATAAAATTTCAAACACAAATAAAACTATGTTAGAAATCAAAATTAAAATAAGAACAGTGATATGCATTTTAATAATTTTATATTCATAACAAAAATTCTTACAAAACAATAAAACGTAACGGCAGTATATAACTTTATAATTAATAATATGTCAGGGATTTTATAATGTTATAAAACTAAATCAAAATAAGAAGAAAGTTCGCCTGAAAATGTAAGTTGAAATGAAGCTTGTTTAGAAATAGCAGACAGTTAACTATTCCGGATCATTCAAAGTCATTCTACCCACGAAACTCAAAAGTTATCAGGTTTTTTGAGGCCCTCAATGCCTCAGGAATGCAAACGGGTATAAAGTTTGCATTTGACTGCTTTAATCAGATGTTTTTATGGTAATGTAATTTCTTCTACACATTTTAATTCTATATGATTCTGATGATCTAGTGCATTTACTTTAACTTTCTCTTAGCATTTAGTTTAACATCAATCCCCAAAAAGAGAAACTTAAACAACGTAATGGGTATATAAATATCTTTGGAAACAACTCTTATTCCTATATCAGTAGTCATACTCTGATGACTCATAGTTTTGAAGCAACTGAACTAAAAGAAATACCCTTATAAATATCATTGGGCAAAATACTCAAAAATAATTCAAATCTTTAAAATTAGGGCGATCAAAGATTTTCATTGTTACAGTCAAGATAGTAAAAAGCAATCAGAATTTTTTAATAATAGGAAAAGTATAGTATAATTTATATCTAGAAAATAAGTGTTACAGTCTAAAATAGTTAAACAAATTAAAACATGATATTGTTTAAAATATAAAATCATGAATTACCAATACTCATCACAGTTTAAGAAGGTTTTAGAAAGTAGTTATCTTTAAAAATAATATATTTTTAATGAATTTGAGCTATATTGTAAAGGAACAACATAGACTCCACTTCAAAATTTTGTAAAATGTCACATTGTAAATTTGTTGCCTTTAGCAAATTCAAGTCACTTATAATTAACAAATTAGTGTATTTATTTAGTAGAGTATGAACTATATAAATAAATAAACCTGGCATTACATATAAGTAGAGGGGTTAAACAAATAAGGCTTAAATCCATTTGAGTATTGTCCTGCAATGTATTTATGTCTGTAACCTAATTAGAAATATGAAGTTTTTTAGTCTTCCTATTGTTAGTTATATCTATCTCTTTCCCATATTTTTAAGACATTTAATAATGTAGTTTATCTCAGTTATTAGTTCTATTGCTATATTCTTGTGAGTAATATAAACTCATAACAAATTCGTTAGCCTTCTAAATCTTTGTAAAAGATATACCTTTCTTTAAATTATAATTTTTGAAACATCATTACATCATATTCCATAGTAATGTCTGAATCTATACATTGTGATGTACATAATTTATAGGTTGATAACATAAAATTGAATTTGTTTTCTATCTATCTAAATTGTAAAATTTCAATGCAAAAAAATGGTGATAAAATGAAGTTTATTAAACATTAATGAATATGTACATTTTCATAACAGTACAAACATTTTATATGAAAAGCAACAAATTAATAAAATACTTATATTTCATTTTTGTCATTATTTTATATACATTTTTGAAAGTAAAAATTGGAACACATTGTTTGCCTGATAAATTGAATATAAAATTTTTTTGATTCTAATCATTGCAGCAGATGGACAACTTAGCTAAAATGAGGGACTTAATCTGCAGTATTTTGTATAAGAATTCATCAGCCATTAGTTTATATGCTTTATTTCGTGTTTATGAAATCTAACTCATCATCATAATATTAGTTATTAAAGAAAGTAGAGTAAAAAAATAAAACTTCACTTAATTAATATTTTTATACTGTTTAGATAATTATTCCAAAAATATTTTAGACTCTCTAAGTTCAATTTCTTTTATGAAAGCTGATAGTTTTTCTAAACACCCTTCTTTTCCCAGCATCGTGAGTACCTCAGATACTCCTGGTCCATCCTGAAAATAATAAGTTTTATATTTTTCAATGACACTTAGAGTAATTAAGAGTTTGAAAATATTTATTTGTATAATAAAAGTTGAGTGAAAACAGGATACATATATCTTGTTGCACCAAGAGTATTAAGTATCATGTCATATTTTTCAATGCAAATAAATAAACATTGACTAATTAGACATCTTCAATATTCAATATTTCAAAATTCAATATTTTGTAATAATAAAAAGTCTTATTTTGTGTAAAGAAATAGTTATGAGCATAATTGTCTAAATGCTATAAACCAACGTTATTATCAGCAAAAAGTATTAAACATAATTTTCAATTGTTATTCTATTGAATAACGCTTATTAATTATTTTCTATAGTATATATATATTTGGATATAAGGGTATTTTTCCTATAATTTTACGAAGTTGTCTAACTCAGAAATGAATTAACTGTATTTCATGATTTTTTTTTAAATAGTAAAAACAATGTAAACTATAGATATCTTTTCAAAATCAACTTTTGTATTTCTAAAGCAAATTTACAAGATGTTTTTTCTACACTCTTTATTATTTATAATCTGGAAAAGGTAAATTTATTATTTACCTTTATTTAAGGTAAATTAGGTGTTGAAAATATACTTATGGCTTAAGAGCCATGTGCGCAAAAGTTTTTATTATTCCAAGGGGTAATTATTTGCACATTTTGTCTTACTGGCTTGAACAGAAATAAAATCTTAAAATTTATGTCTACTAATTTGCACGAAAGACTTGTTAGTTTACAAAAGGCAGGTTTCAGCAAAACGTTTAATATGATAATACATCTTTTCAAATGAATATTAATGAAAATATATGAATGTGTCTTATATAAATCATTAACACCATTTATCTACATCAATACTTTTATTTAAGTATTAACAAAAACCATTATTTGTTAAACTTAAGAGTTTTAAAATTAACATGCCCAGCTGGACATGTAAGGGTAAAAAATGCACCTGACCTGTTAATAATAAACAGCATAATGACCCGTTAAATAATAAACAGCAATCTAGTAAGTTTATTTTAATAAAGTGAATTAATCATTAGTCGTTGATAGACTAACTAACTTATACATAAAAGGAATAGAAAACTAAAAAACATTCATATTTAAATGGAGTTTTCTAAAACGTCTGAGATGGTTGTTTTTCTATAGAAAATTTATCACACAATCAGCCGTAAGAGTTTTGCTTTAAAGGCTAAACATATAAGTTATTTTAAATGTAAAAATAATGCAAAAAAATTAAGATTTATTTTGAGCTTTTAAAATATATTTAAAAATTTTACCTTTTGTCCAGTAGTTACAACTCGTATAGTTCTCATAAGTATTGAATATTTTATTTTTAACTCGGAACTAATCTCTTTCAGTTTGGAAGACAATTTTTCTTCATTGTAATCAGAAGAAGAAATTAATGAAAGTTGGTATTGTACATCCTTTAAACCTGAAAAAAAAATTGCAAAATTTCCACACTGCATATTAAAAAGAAGAAAAAAAAAATTAACTGACAGAGTAGTTTTATAAATTTTTCTGTTATGTTCTTTATTTTGTCTGCAATTTACAACTGATTTCATTTCAAGATCTTTGATAATAAGTCAAGATTTATTTATTCATTTTCATTGGTATCAATTTATAATTATATTAAGATCAAATTATCATTCTGAGAAAAAATTATGTTCATATTAACCTAAATATTTTATAAGGTTTGTTAGTTAAAGAATAAAAAAATTGCTCTTAAGACTTTAAAAGATTCAAAGGTAAATATTAATCTTTTAATGAAGATTGTATAGAGAATATGGAAAATAAAAGAACAACACTCTCTAGAACGAGTTTAAATTTTTTCATCTGATTTTGATATTCATCGAATGATAGATTAGAAAATTCACCTTAATCATTATTTACAGAGCATTAAAAACAAAATAGTTTCATAATAGTATTACAAAAATAAAGAAAAGGAGGCAAAAGTAATTGATAATAAAACAAAAGAATCAATTATTTAAACCAGTGTTCCCCAAACTTACGACTTTCGAGTACCCTTTCTAAATTTTTCGTAAAGCTGAGTACCACTAATAAAAAAAATGAATGATTTTTTTGCTATAAAAAAATGCACAAAAGTTAAAAGTCACAACTGGCTGTTGACACCACCACTAATTATTAACTGTTAACTCTACCCCTGTGGCAGAATTTTTTTGGGCTTTCTGCGACAAACCTCTCTATCACTAATATCTTTCTGCAAGATATTTTTAATAATAACTAATATATATGTTAATAATTAAATTTAAAGTAACAGAAACATTGTATTCACAAAGAAAAGCCTATTTGGGTATAATAAAATTGTATGTATTTTTTTAAAATGAATACGTAATATTTTTTTAAAATTCTAATCATCTCGGGCGATATTGTCACATTTTGTAAGAGGAAAACACACGAATTATTTCTTTTTTTACTTGTTTGCAAACCATCACATAAAAAAATAATTAAAAATTGTAAAATCCGTGAAAGAAAAGAAAACTAAAATTAAAAAATCACGCTAAAATTAATCACTTCTTCCCCTCTGGAAGGGAAAAAAAATTTCTGCAGAAAAGAAATTTTTTGCTTTGATATTCTTTACTTTTCATTTTTCTCAAATAAGAATCGAAAAATTACGAACATTTTATTCCCCTCCGATGCACGAAAAAGGCATCTTTTAAATATAATTTTAAAGAAAAAAAATGTTACTTTCTAAAGAAAAATTCTTTCTTCAAGAACTCTGTAACGTTCTGCGACAGTGTCGCCGTGATTCTGTCACAGGGAACTTTACAAAAACTAGCCAATACGTAATCGTAAATTTTCATGGCTAGCTTAGTTTTCAAATAAAATTTTTTGAAATTTTCGTTTGTTGCAAGATATTGCATACGAACGCGTACCCCCGCTAAACTGTTCCCATACCCCTGCGGGAACGCGTACCACACTTTGGGAAACACTGATTTAGATCATGATGTTTAATGCTTTAAAAAATCGTAATTTAAAAATATACCACTAGTCTCGAAAAATATTTGTTAAAAAATTAAAATATATTTTTATAATAAAAAAAAACTATCAGTACTTGATTGTTTTAAGTGATAATTCAGATACTTTTGCTTTCATATAAGCAACTAATTGCTTTATTATTATTAACTGCTTTTTTTAAACTTATTTAATAACTAACTACTTTTTGTTTTATTTTTAAAAAAAAGTAGATTTTAAGAGAATATTCCAACCTTAATATTACAAGTTATTATTTAAGATAATATTACAAGTTGTTAATGCAAATATTAAATTGTACAAAAAAATTAAACAAAATCATAAGTTAAGTACTAGCTACTCATTTTTATGTGTAATACAATTAATTTTAAAATATTTTGAGAGATAAAAGTCCTAGAAAGAAAATTATGCTTACTACGAATAACAGAGTCTGGTATCCTTAAATTTGAGAGCAACTGCATTACATTCTCATACTTTGGGGAAATCCATAAATATTCCATATCTTTTTCAGTCATTTCTAATAAAGTAGTCATTCTATCCTAGGAAAAAAAATAAGAAATTTTTTTTCTCAGGTATTTAGAAATATGTTTATAAAATAAGAACATATGAATAAGTAACTTCATATTGTAAACTTAAAAAAAAAGTAGCTTTTAAAACTTCATGCTTTTAAAGTTTTTCTTTTACCAAATATTATGGACTTTATCTTATTATTGAGAACTAATATCTTATTATTAAGAATAAATAAGTTTTTTTTGTCATAATTTTTTTTTAAAAAATAGAGAGAGACACACATACACACAGGATTAAAGAATGTTAATTTGAAATGTGAGGATTTGGAAAAAGACTTAAATAACTCGTATTTCAAGATAAAGAACAGTTTTCAACGATCACAGACTATATTCACTCTTTGTCTTGGAAATTGAATTAAATTCTGATGTTGAATTCAAGTTTCAATTAATTACCAATTTGTTAGAATGAATAGCTGATTTTAAGTAGAAATTATGAAATTTGTAGGTTGGAAAAGTTACGTAAATATAATTGAAGTATTTTATTCTAACAAAAAACTAAACTGACTTAATCTGGAAAAAGCACATAATTTTAGAGTGTGCTCAGGCTAGATAAAATGATTGAGTACAAACTTCGTTATAATCGTGTAATTAAAAATCAAACTATTTCATAGATTAAAAAGTTGCAGATAGTTTGTGAAACAGTATGCATATTTAAATTTTAACCTTACAGTAAGCTATAAAGTTCCCCTAAATGATATTATAAATGGAAAATAAAACAAACGAAATAAATAAACACTCATCAGTGGCATTTATAATATATTAAGAAAACAATAAAATGAAATAATTCTCAGAAATGTAGTTAACCAGTTGCTTAATATCACTTGATTTAATATGTCATCACTAAAAATTAATAAGCCTCTTTTACTATTTTAATGTATAACTGGTTTCACTCAGTTACTTTTTTTACAATATATTTCTTACTTATTTTTTATGCTTTAAATTTATGGAATAATGTCGTGGAATTTTGAACAATTGTATCATAGAAAAGTATGTTATTTGTTAAAAAGTAATATTACTTCACATAGGATTAACAATTTAATGCGGTAATAAAAACACTTATATTCTTTTTACAATTTAAAAGTTAACACTTAAATAAACAATCCAGACAAAAATAGTATTATTGATAAATGAAAACAAATACTTTTTTTAAAAGAGATAATCTATTTTTGCTAATGAAGTCATGTTATAAAAATTGACTTGCCTTATAACATAAGAGTACTTTTTTCAAGTAAGAGTCAGTCAACTTATTTCTTTCTTCTTCATACCTATGAAAATAATTTTTAAACTTTTTTAATTGATGGTTAAGTTATTCATCAACATTTGGAAATCTGACACTGTAATTCTCTTTTTCTAAAAGGAAATTTTATGGTCAAATCTTCTGAATTTTAAATTTTTAAGAGAAGAGTGCAGATTAAAACCAAAAGCCACTTACACTAAGAGGCCACATCATTACATTCACTTTACAGTTTCATCAAAATAAGCTATTGCATCACCATGTTGCTTCTGAAAACTAGTATAGAATTTTAAAAAAAAGACCTGGTATGCTTTTGGCTCTTTATTTTGAATGTATAGTAACCTGAATAAGACCAAGTTGCTGATGATTTATCTCTATGTACGAGGGTAATTTCAAAAAGATAATAGGCCCTTCTGTTCTTCTGGAATTGTTACAGATTGGTGTGATATTTTACTTTATGATGCTAGCCCTCACTATCTCCAGATCTCAACCCTATTTAGCATTTGTGGAAAATAAACATCCAGACATTTAGATTTACTAAGACCTAGAAAAAAATATCCCGACTTTTTTTCCAGGTACATCAGGTAAATTTCAGCAAAAATCCAGAATATATTTTATAAATACCATGCAATTTTTCACCAGAAAACTAATTTTTATTAGCAATTTTTTTATTTGTTATGTGAAATACACTGGTGGACAAAATTAAGAGATGGAAGACTTTTTCCCAAATATCTCAAAAAATATTGAATATAAATAAATGAAATTTGGTATGGATATAGCTTATTCCATGATAATAAAGTATGCAAAACAAAAATAAAAGTGCCATTCACAGGCAAGACCTATTGCCAATAAATCCAATGTAGTCTGAACTTAAGGATAAAAGTTGACAATAAAAGTGAGGCTTGTACAGTGTGTGTTGCCTCTAGTATGGTGTATGGTCACCCCTGATAGACAGACAGCATGCACAACGAGTATGCAAGCTGTTAATAAGGAAGTTAAGGAGGACTTGTGGAAGACCTTCCCATTCTTCCACCAGAGCAATTTTTAACTCCAGAATGGTTCTGGGGGG